ATGACTAAATGCTAAAGATGCACAGAACGCTGTTACCTTCCCACGAAAGGTGGTCCTTATTTTTCTACTTGCATGCTTTCGAACTGTTAGGTTGGCAGAAGCTGGGACAAGTAATGGGAGCTCACTCGATTTTGTGGCACTAGGGATTCAAACCACTGAACTGCCAACCTTTCTGATCAACAAGCTCAGAGTCGTAGCCACTGAGCAACTGCATCCCTGATATCTAAAAATATCTATCTAAAAATATAGACATGCCAGGCTGTTAAGTGGTGTAATTTAGACCAGATGAAACTAGAAGCTAGTCTGGTTATTGAAATATTGCTAATCAAGAAGAAAAAAAGTCCAGCAGAGGCAGACGTAGGTCACTGGATCAAAAGCCAAGGCAAGGGTGCCAGAGGAGGGGTGGGGATGGGGAAAAGTTTGGTACATGCATTATCAAGCTCTGGAATTCAGAGATGAGCAATGAAGTGATTTCACACCAAAAGGCTTTAGAAGAGTTCCTTAACACCTCTAAACCTAGCACATTAGTAACCTATTTTTTTAAAAAATATATTATAAAATTGTAAAAATTATAAAAAAATATTTTTTTTTTAAAAAAACAATAAGTTACTATCACGTTGTGCTTTACAACCACAGTGGAACTTACATTATAATGCATCACTTAGCAACAATGTTACAGGTCCTGATTGTCCTCATTAAGTGAGGATTACCTGGTATTGTCAAGTTGCTGGGACATTTTTGCAAATAATTGATAAAATGAGTTAGATCAGAGTTCCCCAATCTTTCTGGTTTTGCAGCCCAGTGGAGGGAGGAGTGTTTCTGCTTGAGCGGCAGGCAAGTGCATGCACGCTTGGAGCTCCATTTGCACGAGCATACCCTTGTCTGCAGCTTGTGCAAGTGGGGATGTGCGTATGCCCACCACTGCTGTGGCCCAGTTCCAAACAGCTCACAGCCTGGTAGTGGGCCACAGCCCGGGGGTTGGGGGGAATCCCTGAGTTAGAGGATTCCAAATGAAGGGCATCAGACCAACCATCCAGTGGTGGGTTCCTACTGGTTCGGCCAAACTGCTAGTGGTTTGGCGGCCCGGGTTGCTGTAACCGACAGTGACCCTTGCCTGCCACACTCCTGAACTGGTTCTCCAGGCGACACCATTGGCGCCATCTTGTTTTTGCTTCTGTACATGCGCAGAACAATTTTTATTGCACTGTGCATGTGTGCGGAGCGCCAACAAATGAACCGGCAGTAGTGACTGCTGGAACCCACCCCACAACCACCCACTGTCCAGCTTTGATTAATGTAGGCTCACCCTTCCCCTTGGCCTTCCTTTCTATGACAAGTGTACTTCAGATGGGAACAATAGGTATCTAAACCTTCATCAGTCTGAATAGCAAATGTAGGGTAACTAAAAGCAGCTGCTTATAGCAGATAGAATGACTATTTTACAATGACCATGATCATGATCTATAACTATTGTTGTATGTACACTGAGAGCTTATGCACCGGAGACAAATTCCTTGGCCACTAAAGAATTCTATAAAGAATTCTATTTCTAGAAGTAGATAACAATTTCTCCCATCCCTAAATACCAACACTGGATATTATTTTCATATCACAGGTCATTCTTCTGTAAGCTTCTTAAGACATATTGATGGTTCTCCCTCCAATTTTATCCCCACTAGTACATTCCTAACACAGGCGTGCAAAAAAATTTTTTTTGAAAGCTGTTTTGGTTATTCCACGTAATCTTTATGTTTTTGGGTGCGCTGAATCCAAAAATGACCTCCATTTTGTCATAGGACATCACGTTTCCTGACAATTTAGGTAACTGTGTTAAATAAGGCAATACCTCAAAATAAATGGAAATAGACTTATAAAATTAAAGTTTTATTACAATATTTTCATGAAAATCCTTTTTTGAACTAAAATGAGCTCACCAACACACACTAAACTGGATTCTTTTTCCTTGTGAGGCTCCTCTTGGTGCATTTATGCTTGTGAGTAGCATCTGGAATGTCTCTCTGAAGCATCCAACAGTAGTCTGCCATTCATTGTAATGCTCCATTTTCCCTGGTATCTCCTTTCCATCTCTTTAATGTCTTGATGGAATCGTTCACCTTGTTCCTCATTCACAGCTCCCAATTTTTCAGGAAAGTAGTCAAGGTGGGACTGGAGGAAATACACTTTCAAACTCATCAGGCAAGCTAAAGCTTGAAATGCTTTCAGCATTCTTCCGACAATCTTTTTGTAGTGAGGATCTTTGTTATTGCCTAAAAATTTCTGTACAACTTCTTTAAATGAAATCCACCCTTCTTTTTGAGGATCCGTCATGGTACTGACAAACTCTTGATCAACTATAAGCCTTCTAATGTCTGGTCTGACGAACACACCTTCCTTCAATTTTGCCTCCGACAGGCATGGAAACTTGGTGACCAAGTATTTGAAGCATTCTCCATCTCTTGGAAGTGATTTTATGAATTGCTTCATCAATCCCAATTTTATGTGGAAAGGTGGTAGAAGAACTTTATGGGAAGGACATTTTTTTCATCGACTGTTAGCACCCTCGGCTGCCAACTCTTCTTGGTCCAGTGATTTTGTCGGTCTCGACTGTCCCATAGACACAGAAAACAAGGGTATTTGGTATACCCAGTTTGTTGCCCGAGCAGCATGCACAAGACCTTCAAGTCCCCACACACTTGCCAACCATGGTCTTCATATTTAAGTTTATGAAGAACCAATTCCAAGTTCTCGTAGGTTTCCTTCAAGTGTACAGAATGACCTACAGGTATGGAAGCGTAAAAACCGTTTTGGAGTAAAACTGCTTTGAGACTTCTTTTTGAAGAATCTATAAAAAGATGCCATTGCTCTGAATCATATTGGATTTTAAATTGACCCATCCGACCTTCGACAGCAATGCAATAAACCAACTTATCTTCCTTGGCGAAGTAAGGAACGAACTCCTTTTCACAATGTCTGAACCATGAAGATGACACTCCTGGCAACAATAAATTCCTGCTTTTCCTGCCTTGATCCGAGTAACTCAGCGGCATCTTTGGGAAGATTCAAGTCTCTTATCAAATCATTCATCTCCTCCTGAGAAAACAATTTTGGTCTTGTATCATCTTCAAAGTCAGAACTTGATTCGTCATCTGGTTCAGGTATGACTTCACCTTCAACGGAGCTAGGTATCCCTTCCAAGGTAGCAGGGGGCTTAGGTACTGGTATATCTGTGCCATGGGGGATGGGACAAATTTCTGAGTGAAGATTGGGGTATGAAATGGAATGCTTCCATTTGGAATTAAACCCTTTCACATCACATGAACAAAAGTAACAGTCATCACTTTGGTTCTTTTGCTCTCGCCATACCATAGGAATCCCATAATGGAAAGATTTTTTCTTATCCTTGAACCAGTTTCGGAGGTCCTCAACACACCATTTACACACTTTATGAGGTGCCCAAACTTTATCTTGATCTCCAATTTTTAGTCCAAAGTATGCAAAGTATACTTTTTTTCACAAAGTCTGTAATATTCTGCTGTTGCTTCAACACTGTATATTCACCACAGATGAAACGGAAACTGTCTGGCAAATTAATACACTTTCGCGGAGCCATAACATAACGGTTGAAGAATGACGAGCTAACATGAATTGCGATGAAAAAGTGTGAACAGCCTAGAACCAAGAACCTGATGATGATTCATTCACAAGTGTGGCATGCAGGAGAGAGCAGCTCTGTGTCTGTACACAAGACGTCAAAGTGCTGGCCCCCCCCCCTGCATTGACCGAAGATGCTGCTATCTGCCTTGTGTCTCCCTCCCACTGGATTCTTCAGGAAAGATTAACCTCTTCTACCATTAGAAGCACAGACTTAAAACTTGCTTAGCTTATGTATATATTGGTGACCATCAGATTTACAGTGCTATATATTTTTTACATAACTCGGACAAATCCTTTAAGGTTTTTTTGGCATTTTATATCTTAAATGCACTTATGTGAATTAATTAATAGTAATTTGGACTTTAAATTTGGTTAAAAACCCATAACATAAAAAAATACCAAAATCTTTAAAAAACTGATAAATTTGACGGCAATTTTGCATTTTGTGGCAAATCATGACGTCTAGGAGTTTTTTCAATATTTTATTTGTTTTCAGCACACCAAAATACATGGAAATTAGATGAAAATAATAAAAGAGCTTTCTAGTCGCAGACCTGTGAATAGTCTCAGCATACTACCATTAAGCACTTGTATTTATTGGTCATGTTGTATACATATATATTTACAGGACTATAGTAGACTATCAATATATATATAGGGCTTGTTGCTAATCTGATCTAAAAATGTCATAGATCATATACATAGCCAGGAATATGGTTTTATATTGAATTCTAAGAGCCTGGCTTCGCTAGTTCTTCCAACAAGTTTTTTTTTAGATCTGCCAAACAAAAGGATGTAAAGGCATTTGCACAGCATTCAGCAAAGTAACCTTTAATTGTATCAGTATCAGTAAAATGAGACCAATACTGAAATTGCAGCAAGATAATATATCAGTATTCTCCAGTAGAGTAAAGCAAAAAAAAAATTAAGCTCTGGTGGGATAGAGTGACCTTGATGGAAATATATGTGCTATTGCTTAGATAAATGAAGCTAAAGTATTATTTAAATCCAGAACATTCAGATTATGTCTGAAAACAGCTGAGATACCTCTCTAATTCACCGAACTATAAAGAGGAGGGGAGGAATAGTATGATCATACTCACGAAGTTCTTTTTTTAAAGTCAATTTCAATTAAAAAACAGTTTCCTGTGGAATTAATTTCCTGGTCTGGTCTACCTAGTGGGGGTGAGAGATGGGGCTGCAACTCCTGAATTTCATATGGGATCCACCTGGAGAACACCAAATCATGAGAGTTTATAAATTGGCACAGAATAACATAAAAGGCTACTGTAGCAAAAAGAAAAGAAAAAAAAAAAGAATTGGCTTGCTGGAAACCAAAATAGCCCTATTTTATGTTACAATAAGCAAATTACTTAATGGCATCACACTGTATGTCCAGCACAAGGTGTTGTTTATTGCTTGTTTACATAGATTCTTTCCGAACTTCAGGGACAGCTACATATTTACAGGTGTGACACATTTTCTAAAAAGAAGGAAAAAATCTTTTCCTTGGAAAACTTGAGGGACTCATCAATTATCCAATCTTTAGGTAATAGGGGAATGATGTGTTCTTTTCCTTGATAAATAACAGTTGTAACAGGTTTCTTTGTGTATTTTGCTTCCCTCCAAATTCCCGTTGTTTTTGGTTTTCGTTTTAGCAGACCTTTGAATAATTTCCACTGTAGGTCCTCCAGGCCTTCAAAAGTTACATATTTAGTTTCTTTAAACAAAGACAAAGAGAAAAGTACAGAATATCAGATCAATATTGTATTAGCGAATACATTTTTTTTTCTTGACTGAGGAAAAAATTAAAAAAGGAATAGCACTCAGTATATTATGCCAAAACATTATTATGGGAGTGGGAACTGCAGATGCCAGACCCATTGAATAGCCTATTGCTGCTAGGTAGCCTATTGAATTATTTTTTGAGAATTCAGAGGAGGAACAAGCTTAGTAATACAGTTCTATTCTTATAGAGCTGGGGTTGGAAACCAGCCTTCCAGATACTGCAGAATTGCAAATGCTACAGTAGTACCTGGCATCACCAGTCATGCTGGCTAGGACCTGCATGAAGGTTCTGTACATAACATACATGCATTTCCAGATAGTAGAGGCTACTTCTCCTGCTTGTAAGCAAAGGAGGTGGGAGTTCAAGATCAAGCTTAAGTGATCACATTCAATCCTGTCCTCCAATAAAATGCCACTTCTGTTTCAGCCACTAAGGTTTAGACAAAGCTTGATGTAAAACTAAAAGTTTAACTCAGGCTAACTCAATCTAGGCCCAGGTATTTCCCAGCTAGTGTGGGAATTTCTGAGAATTCCAGAAGCTAAAGACTAAAGCTAAAGAAGGAAGACAATCAGGTTGGAAACTGTGGGTTATTGTAAAAGTTCTGAAGCAGGGCATCCTCCAGATATGCTCTACTCTAGAATTCTTACCCAATATATCTATGGTCATTAGACAGCTTTGGAGTGAGATTCACAAACTACAGATAGACTTCAGGAAACTATGAAATTTACTACTAACTTTTAAGTAGAAATGTGATTTATGGCAGACCTCTGACTTTAAGTATTTATCTCTAGATTCCCTCATATTACAAAAACAGCTATTCTCCCAATCAGGAGCTGTTTTTTTAATTTAATCTTTTACCTATCTTATAATTCACAACACAATATTCAGAAGTTCTCTCTGACTTCAAAAGGATCCTCTACTTAATTGTTTGGGCTCAAAGACCGACTTTCATTCTTAAATTTTGGAAACCATTACTCCATATTTCATTTAATCTTATTAATCTGAATGCTTTACTCATCCACAATTTCAATTGAGAATGTAGTCAACCTTGAAGTGTTGGTACTTTTTCTGGCTCAAGTGAAGTAGGCTGCTTCTTCTTTTTGTGCCTCAGCGTTAAAGAGTCTATCTTGCACAGTATTTCTCCTCTGAGACATTGTTTCTTGATGGTGGGAAATGGCAAATCAAGACAATTCTTGATTAAAACCAGGTAAGGAAGCACATATGCTGGTGACAGTTCAAAATAAGATTTCCGTTTGCTTTTTGAGCCAAACAGATGTTTTGAAGCTACAGGTAAGCAGGAATCTTTGGGAAGAACAGTTGCAGAAGTATCTCTGTCTTCAGTAGCATCTTTATCTGAATCCTTTATAACAACTACATCTTCAGGAAGGACACTGGTGCAGATGGAGTTGGGTTCCTGTAATTGGTCTTTATCCATTTTTGCAGCTGACCTTCAAGAACTGCTGGCTGAATGGCATGGAGAAGAGTTGAGTAAGGTTCTTTAGAAGTCATTCTACATAGTTATTTCATATACACATTTAAATACAAGGATTAGTAGTGGTTGTGTTTCAAAAAAATACACATGCACAAAATATAAGCTTATAGAATTTCTTAATTCATTTTTATCTAGAAAGTGATTTGCAACAGACTAAAAACTAAACTGCACATTTGTAATTTGATCTGTAATATTCAAAGATGACATAATATGAAGTATCCCTGTTCACATATATTAAGTATAATGACTAATGATAAGTAATTAACATGAGGTGTGATGGGCGACCTGTACATTTTATTTATAAACAAACAAACAAACAAACAAACAAACATGTTTAGCTTTGACTTAGCATGATTTATGATCCTAGCTGTGGTTTAAATCCACAACTTAGCCAACTATTTAAGAGGAAGGAACAACGTGGGTATTTTTTTTCTTTTGATTTAGCATAATATACAAGCCTCCCCATTATAGTTTGAAAACCATAGTTTCATTCTTGTAGTGAAGATAATATATTCCAGTTAACTATTCCGGAAAGAAAAAAAAAAACATTCTCAGTCCTTTCAATGCGCTTCCCCGTGAATTGCATTCAGCATAACATTGGTCTCTAGGATCAATTATAAAAGACTTCATTATATAAATATAACAATGGCCATATTTAGGATTCTTTTAGCTGACTTAGTTTAACTTAAGCTTGCTTGCCAATGATGCTGACTAGTTTTCATTAAGCATATAATTTTAATACTTATTTCAACCATGACAAATATTTAGTGTTTGATCAGTATACCAAAGCTGCATCTGGTTGGTCCAATTCATCTGGAGCTCAAAAATTCAGATGACTATTAAAACAGCAACAAATTTGAATATTAGTATCTCTTAGTTGCCATGTAATGGAGTCCTGATTTTGATAACTCGCCTAGCTTTTCTGAAGCACTCTGAATTAATGCAGACATCAGCTTATGACCACAGTTGAGCCTAAAATTTCTGTTACTGAGACAGTTTTTAAGTGAGTTTTGCCCCATTTTATGCTCTCTTTTTTTGCCACAGTTGTTACGTGGATCACTGTAGTTGTTAAGTTAGCAACATGGTTATTAAGTGTACCCACCTTCCCCATTGAGTTTTGCTTGTCAGAAGGGCAAGACCTCAGGACATTGCGATCATCATAAATATGATTCAGTTGCCAAGCATTTGAATTGTGACCACATGACCATGGGGATGCTGCAATGGTCATTAAGTGTGAAAAAGGGCAATAAGTCACTTTTTTCAGTGCTGTTGTAACTTCAAACAGCCACTGAATGAACTGTTGTAATTTGAGGACTATCTGCACAGACTTCTCTTTTTTTGAGTTCTAGGATTGCCTGGTTCAATTATCCAAACAAATGGATTTTCAAAGAAATTCATCCGGAGTTCTCACCCAAGGCATATATATTATCCTGCTTTATGCCTATTATGCAAAGATCTGGCTTTTTAGAGAAAGCTTTGATGCTGGAAAGGAAGGAGAGGAACAACCAACAGCAAACTGGATGGACTGAGTGACAGTGGTGATGGGTGCACCGTTGGAAGACTGAAAGATCAGTTAGGGGACAGATTGCCCTGGGAAAATATATATCGATATACAGGTACTCCTCAACTTACGACTATAATTGAGCCCAAAATGTATGTTAAGTGAGAAATTTGTGAAGTGAGTTTTGGCCCATTTTATGACTTGACACATTTGTTAAGTGAATCACTGCTGTTGTTAAATTAGCAACATGGTTTGTTAAATGAATCTGACTTCCCCATTGATTTTGCGTGTTGGAAGTTTGCAAAAGGTGAACATGTGATCCCAGGACGCTGCAACCATCATACTTGTGAACCAGTTGCCAAGCATCTGAATTTTGATCATGTGACCATGGGGAGGCTGCAACAGTCGTAAGCGTGAAAAATGGTCATAAGTCTCTTTTTTCAGTGCCGTTGTAACTTTGAATGGTCACTAAATGAATTGTTGTAAGTCAAGGACTACCTGTAGTCGCTAAGCGTCAACACCAACCTTATGGCACATAATCAGGACTGGCTGGACTTACATAACAAATTTAGTTCACCAGAATGGTTGGGTTCGCACAATGCGCAGACATAAAAATGAATAAGCCACATTTTAGCCCAATGCGAATGGAATGGAATAGAATAGCTTTGTCACTTTGAATGTACACTAATCAGCATACATTAAAATGAAATTCTGTTGCATACATCTCTCAAAGGGTCACCACCTCCAATATACATTGCATAACCATGGCAGAATGAATAAAACAAACAAACCTACATACATACATAAGGTAAAGATTCCACACAAACATATGTGGTAGTCATTCCCGACTCTATGGGGCGCTGCTCATCTCTGTTTCAAAGCTGAACAGCCAGCGCTGTCCGAAGATGTCTCCGTGGTCAAGTGGCCAGCATGACTAGATGCACACCTTCCCACCAAAGGTGGTCCCTATTTTTCTACTTGCATTTTTACACGCTGTCGAACTGCTAGGTTGGCAGAAGCTGGGACAAGTAACGGGAGCTCACTCCATTATGCGGCGCTAGGCATTCGAACCACCAAACTGCCGACCTTTCTGATCGACAAGCTCAGTGTCTTAGCCACTGAGCCACGGTGTCCCACGTACATGCATACAAAATTATGCACATACCCACATATATTATATGACANGCTCAAACACTATACTTTTCCGCTCACCCTGAAAAAAAATTAGAGGGAACATTGCTCCCTAGTTTCTTAGACTATAAAGGGGAGGCAGGAGAGATGCATTTTTCAGGCTTGCAATATTTTGACAATCAAACATTACAATAAAGGGCGAGGTATTACTTCTGGGTGTACTTCTTGTCCGGCCTATCTCACAAGGCTGAGACTTCCCTACAAGGAAGCTTCTGTCTCTGTTATGTAATTTGATGAGACCAGGAGTAAAGCTTGATATAAGTTTTTAAAAATAAACTGAAACCTGCACAATGTTATCTGAAACACCAGGCCCAGGTAAGGCAACTGTGCTGTCTTCAGGAACAATGCATTCCTTCATACCCACCTTAATATTCCAAGCTTTTCTATGTGCATTCTGAGCATATTCATGGTGATTGCACATTAGGCTTTCCCTGAGAGGGATTTTCTACCCCATAAAATTTTGTTTGTGTGTGTCCAATCAAACTCCTACTATCTCTTATAGCCCCCCTCTCCTTCCATTCAATGGTGTCCAATTATCAGAGACTATATGGACAAGTCCCTGCAGTTTTCTTGGGAGTGTTTTCAGAAGTGGTTTGCCATTGCCTCTTTCCAAGGACTGAGTGAGTGACTGGCCAAGCTCACACAAAGCCAAGCTTTGTGCCTACAGTGGGATTAGAACTCCCAGACTCCCAGTTTATAACTCAATGCCTTAACCACTACACCAAACTAAGTCTCGTACTGTACATAGATAGTACCATTATGTGTATTAAGCAGTGGTGGGTTCCAGATCCCGTTGCAACCAGTATGGTGCAATGGGGCCAGGCGTCCACCACATGAACATACACTACGCACACTTGCATACTTACCACCCGTGATGCTCCGCGACACCTCCCCAACGCTCCAGCTGCATGGCGGAGGGCCACACAGGAACTATACGCTCTGTGCGTGTGTGCGGAAGCCTCAAAAACTTCAAATACCATAAGGAGCGAGGACAGGCAGGTGGGCCCTCTGGAACACCATACCAGAATGGTATCTGGTGTTCCCGGCAGGCACCGGTACACCCGTACCAGGTTTAGTATTAAAAGCAGCATACGGATTTCTGGTAGTGCAGCCTGGTCTCAGGCTGCTGTCGCTAAATGCCAGGTCTGTTGTTCATAAGGCCCCCCTCATCCGGGACTTGATAACTGATGAGGGCGCAGACCT